TCTCTCTCTCTCTCTCTCTCTCTCTCTCTCTCTCTCTCTCTCTCTCATTCACTCTCTCTTTAAAAAAAAAAATAAAAATAAAAATAAATAAATAAATAAAAACCCCTTGGGACACCCAGAGTGGCTGCCATTCCCCGTAAGTGGCCCCAGTAAGTCTTCAGGGGAATTTCAGGCTGTGAAGCACAGGCCAAACCCCTTCTCACATCTGGCCGTGCTGCTCTCTGCCCTTCTGCTTCTAGGCCAGAGACTGTGTCCTTCCCACCATCAGGGCCATCGTCCCATCAGCCCAGGTTCTGCAAACCCTGGTTGAGGTGGTTGCTGCCTATAACCCCCTAGGAGCCACCAGAACCCCTTAGGCTCCCTTTGTTCCATGCAGAGAAAGTGGTTGGTGCTGACCCAGTCCTGAGCTTGGGTGGTGACAGCAGGACCATTCTCATTCATCACTTGCAGTGGGAAGAGACCTGGCCCCTCAGGGACCTCCGGAGAAGGCTGTCTCACCTGCAAGGTCAAGGAACTCTCCTGTGTATTTGAGATTGCTGGCAACACATCTCCATCTCCTGTGGTTTACAGAGAAGTTGTCCATGAGCAGATGTTGAGGAAAGGCCTGTAGACCTCAGCACAGTGCAAGGCTGTGAGGGGAGGACAGGGAGAGGGGTCCAGGCTCTGGCCGTCATGAGGAAAATCACTTCCAGAAAACACATGGCCAGAGGGCAGCTACACAGCCTTGGCATATAGGACACACCTGCCAAGAGAGGCCTGGCACACAGCAGACCTTCAGTGACTGCAGCAGTCGGTACCTCCCTTTAACCACAAACACCAGCCGCTCTGGGCCTCACTGGGTAGAAGGTACAGGTGTGGCAGTGGCATCACCAGGAGACTTAGTCACTGACGCTGGGCTTTAGCTGCGCCAAAGAGGAGCTGGAGAGAGGTGGACTGGTAGAGACTGCTCTCGAGATGCAGCGTACATAGCAATGGGGCTCAAGAAGCATGGTGTCTGGCCAGTGGCTTGTATTGGCAGAACTAAAGAATCCCATAGGATGCTAGGCGTGGGAGGGGATACGTGGCACCGTGAGAGGAGAATGGCCAGGGGTGGGCTAGAGAATTGGGACATGTTGCTGCAGGCAGTAAGAATCATTGCTGGGACTAAAAAGATTGGGTTTCTGAGAGCTGGACAGGAAGACCACTGGGAGGGAACCTGGCCCCATGCTGGGGCTTCCCCCAGGACAGTGAGTGGTGATGAGTCCAGGGACCAAAACACTGAGGTCTGCAGCCACACAGGCTGATGTCCACAGAGAGACAGGAGACTGGAGCTGGGTATGGCTGCTGGGCCAAGAAAGCGAAGGTTCCGAGCTGAGCACTCAGGTCTGGAGGGAGGCTGAAGCCAGTTGTGGGGACAAAACTAGGGAAAAGACGCCTTGGAGACTCTGGGGTGTGTTACTGGGTAGCCCCCGAATAGCAGGCTGGGCCGACCAAGCAGGGAGCGCCTGCTCAGCACCCCTTTGTGTGCCTTCAGGCCAGGCTTTCCAAGCTTCCCAGATGATAAGCAGCGCAGAGGGTTTTCTGTAGATATTTATATCAATGGAGTCACATCCCTTGTGTAATATTGTAAATAAATCAACACTCACTTTTAATGATGTTTCATAGATAAGTTGGTTTTGTTCTAAAAGACATGCTCTTTAATAAAATTCCAGTGTTCAAAGTAAAAGTGGCCGCTCTGATGCGCTAACCCCACCACAGTTAGTTGCCCTGCACTTGCATTTGCCTCCCTGGTGAGACTTACCAAAGGCAGACATGGAGCTGGGGTTCTAGAATGCTTGGCGCTGTAGCCACTGCCCCTACAACACTCAGGCATGTCCCCATTCTGAGTGCAGCTGCCCCTGGCTGAGCCCACCTCTCTGTGTGTTCAAGTGGCAGCCCCCTGGCATGACCTGTGTTGTTCTCCCTGTCTTCCCCTGTAGACTACTGTTTTCCAAAGTGAAGTTGGAGTCCCTCTGCCGGGGCCCAGATGAGGCACTGCTCACCTGTAAGCACATGTTACAGATATGGAAATCCTGCTACAACCTGACCAATCCCAGGTAAGAGGCCAGTGGCGCCTGTTTTGTGTGGCTTTTGCATGGGTCTCCACCTATCAGTACCATCTCTGATAGACCTTTAGTGGGCATCAAATAGTAGGGATGGAGCTTCATGTCACTTTAAGGAACTTCTCTCCCAGAGGCTGATGGGGCCTTCAAGCTATGGGCCATGGTGACCTCTAGGTGCATCTGGTAATGGTGCTTTCTCCAGTGTCTCTCTACCAGTTTCTCTCTACCAGCCATTTACTTAACTTCTGTGACAAGTCTGACCATCTGCCTGGTAATGAGAGTCTATCCTAGTCAGTGATATATATTCCAGGTGGGGATCTTGCAATAGAGCTGAACCTGCACAGTCCTACTAAGGACAGAGGAAATTGTTCTCAGCATGATAAAATATAATTTCAAAAAAATTAAAATTACTTTTCATACAAATATAAACTAAACACATGTCAAAGTTTCTACTTACCACACTAACTAAGTACAGTGTTAAGACTGGATCAAAGAATAATTTGAAAAACATTTGTATAGGCAGAAATGCTGAAATGAATTTGCAAATAGATGCAAAAAACAGTATCCTATGAGACAATGAAATGCATTGTTTGGGGTTATGTTCTCGACAGGGTAGAGATCAACTGTAGCTCTACCAGACAAAACCCATTTGTCTTATTATCAGTTTTCTGTGGTTAGTTTTTGCCCTTTAAAGCCGTAAAGTACCCCAGTTAACTTTGGCTTCCTGTTGAAGCCAAAGGTGCCACCCTTTAGAGGCAGCCGCCCTGGGGAATGGGGACCAGTCACCCCCAGAAGCCCACTGCAGACACCTGGGAACCCATTTGCCCATTTCTAAGCCTTGGGCACTTTTTCCTGACATGTTTGGGTGACTGAGTGTCCCCTGCCCTGGGGAGGAAGTAATCTAATGCAGAGGGACCCAATGAGTCAGGCGAATTCACAAAACTGCTCCTGCACTTGAACTTTCCAAGTTCATGGCAAGGTGTATGGACAACCCCTGTTATGCTCTGAAGAATCTGGAGCCTGAAAATGGTAAATGAGCACCAATGGTGTGGGTTGGTGGCCATGGTCTGCAAAGAACTGTGGAAAGGCAAAGTGGGGGTGTAGTTAGGCACCACAGAACAAAGGCAGGGCTCCCTGTGAGATTTTGTTTTACAAAAGCTTCTGCAGTTAAAAACAAAAAACAAAACAAACAAACAACAACAAAAAAAAAAGTAGTGTTCAAAATCAGGGCTCTGTGAAGGGGCTGGCCACTGTGAACTGACCCTAGCTAGAACTGTGACCAGCCTGTGGTGGAGCAGCTGAAGGAGAGGCTCAGCCTGGAAAGCCAGCCACAGGGGCTGATGGTCTCCTGTGACTGTGGGTCCTTCTTCTTGGTGAAGTATAATAATGAGGCTGGTCTCTTCCCTCTCATGCAGTTGATCTGACAGTCTTAGGTCTGTAAGCAAAATGGGAAAGCCTATATTTGTCTCCCCCAGGCCCCCACCCGTGGCCTATCAGTAGCATCAGGATTTGGGGAGCCTTTACCTCGTCACGGAGCTAAGAGCAGATACTGCCCCAGCTGGTTGCCTCCGTGCTGGAGCACATCCTTCGCCAGTACCCCCTTTAAAAAGGAGAAAATAAACCCATCAGCTTTCATGTTGCCAATTTTCCCTCAGCTCTCCACACCTCTCCCACCTCCCCACATTTCCTCCCACTTAGCAACCAAGAATATTGAATGTGAGGAGAAAGAAATAGCAGAATTGGAAAGCTTTTTAAAAATACTTAACCAAATGTTGGGCTCTGACCATACTTCCTCCGTTTCCTGCAGGATCTCTCGGGGCAGAGCAGAAAGGACTCGGCTTTGGGCACAGAGCCTGGGTGGGGTTGGGATGGTGGAGGAGGCTCCTGCAGTTACTCAGAGCTGCTTTTTCCAAAGCATGGGGCGGGGGACAGTGGGGTGGGGGGTAGTACTGAGCAGCTTCTTATTAAGAAGCTTCCTGTTTTGTTTTATTTTTTAACCTTATTTTCTCTGGGATATAAATATATACTTCTCCAGCAGTCCTTACCATTGGGCAAATTTAGCTGTACTCCCAGTCTGCTTGGGTAAGCAGTGACCCTGGCCATAGAGGAAATCATAAAGAGGGAGGGCAGTGTGTTGTGGGGTGAGCACACATCCTAGCCTCCAGATGAGGCAAGCTGGGACCAGCAGCCTAGAGGCTGTCTTTGGGTCACACCAGGCTTTAGAAAAGGGTAGAATCACATGAACAAGTGCACGGGAAGCATCCCTTCCTAAAAATAAAACAAACTGAAAGCTAAGCAGAAAGATTTTGGTAGGAAGCAGTTGGTTTCTGTCTGGAGTAGGTTCATGCTAACTCCCTGGCTCCTGGCCCCCTGACTTCTGCACATGCGTAGTTGCAGCAGGGCCCTTTGCTCCACCTGCCAGGAAGCTTCCAGCCCGCCCCCCTTCCCCCCCCCCCCCTGAGTCCATCCAGAGGCTCAGCACAGGCCCCCAGGGCTGCAAGCAGCCTAGGAGGTGGTGGGCAGTCACTGGGAGGGAGTGTCCACACTGAAAACAGACGCTGACTCCGTGGTCCCTGCAGCTCCTGCCCTCTTTATTTTTGCTCCTGGCCGAGCTGAGCTTGGGAAGCCTTGTTTAGCAGGTCCCCTGTACTTGCAGAATGCAGCTCTGGCTGCAGACTCAGTGGTGGTGGCATCTGCAGCTCACGGTACCTATGACAGGGTGTTTGGAGCTTCAGAAGCCTTTGTTTTCTTTCCTATGGTCTGCAGTTTTGCTTGCATTTAGGATAGAAATCTGTCTAGTATTTTGTCTTCCCTTCCTTAGTAAAATGCAAAGCTCCCTGAGTTCTTGTGAATATTGACTTGGCCACTCAGGACAGTGCCAATCTGACCAGAATCTCACCAGAAGGCCCCAGCAGGCTGCCTGCCTGGATAGCACAGCACTTCAGCAAGGCTCGCTAATGACCACGGTTATTTAAATTCACAGTGCCAGCACTGTACCGGCGTTAATGTGCTAGCTAAAGGAGGGTAAATGACTTGCCTCAGTTTGCCCAATTAAATGAACAGTAGAGCTGTGATTCACAGCCAGGTCTGCCTGACACCAGAGCTCGCTCCATGGCAGGGGGCCGCCTCTCCCAAGGCAATGGCCAGCTTCCTTCCTTCCTTCCTTCCTTCCTTCCTTCCTTCCTTCCTTCCTTTCTTTCTTTTTTTTTAATTGCTAACTACGTCTTTCCCTCTTCATGCCACTTTGATTCCTAAGTCCTATTTCAGTCACTTACCAACAAATAGCATTTAAAGTTAGCGTGCGCATGCGCACACACACACGCATGCACACACACACACACACACACACACACACACACACTTACATACTTTCTTTGCTCTGATCTCAGTTGGAAGCTGGAGACCCCATGTCATGCTCACAGCTATCAGCATTTGGGCAGAGCTTTTCTTTACAGGGACCATTCTTTCATTTCATCTCCAAAGAAGACAGATAAAACGGGCAGATGTCATGTTATAGCATTCCCATTTTACTGAAGGTAAGGTTGAGGCTTGGCTATTTTAGGAATAGGCCCTTGATTCTATAGGCCCAGGACGCCTAGGGAAAAAAAAAAAAAAGTAAAAGTTCCTCTCTGTCTGCCTGTGCTCTGCCCTCCACCCCTTTGTCCTTGTATTTGTTGTGTGCCACAGATTTCCCAGGAGTTGAGAAGTGGCAAGAAGTCCAGGGTTCTGACTCCTGGTCCACCACCACCTCTTCCCTCTGGGTGGCTGTGGACCGTAAAGATTTCCAGGAGAGGCTTTCAATTTTCTGTGTCACGTTAATTGGCATTACAATATACAATATATCTGAATCTTCATTCGTGATGAGGAAGAGAAATTCACTGCATGTGTGCATCTAGGCAAGTGGATACCTCAGCTTGTGTGCCACGGCTCAGGGGTCCTTCTGCTTTCCTCACCTAGACCACTTCCCAGCACTGCTGAGCAGGAACGGCTTCTCTCTCTTCCAGCCCACCTCATTTTTTTAATATGTGTAATTTTTTAGTTATGGATGGACACAATACCTTTATTTTATTTTAGGATCAAACCCAGGGCCTCACACATGCTAGGCAAGCACTCCACACTGAACCACAGCCTCAGCCCTAGCCCTCACTGGGAATTGCTCCCATCAGCCTCAGGGCCAGACATAGGAGAGGAGAGGTGAGGTGCTGGGGGGTCCATGGGAACTGCCCATGAAGGCAGTGTCCAGAGGGAGAAAGGAAGGTAACTTTCAGTCTGTGTGAGAGAGACTGGCCAGGGAGAACTCGGGAGTCTCCAGAGTTGACCAAGACATTCATTCCCTAGCTCTTTTCCCCATGATCTGTGGGCTTTCGCAAAGGCAAGTCTTGATTGGATAGAACTCTACACCATGTAAATGAAGAACTAAAAATTGGTTAAAGCAACAAGCAAAATGTTTAATCAGTCACAAATACCTAATTATTTTTTAGACAGAAAACATTCAGTATGGAACAAAACAGCTCCATTTTGAATGGTCAATTGTTGCTTATATACTCTCTTCGGGGGGAACTATGGAAGGCAAACTGAGGAAATAACTACTCAAAACTTCCCCACTGGTGGAGGGACAAGGGACATGGGCCCTGTGTTGTTGTCAGAGAGCAAGGTTCACAAATTAGTATTATGGGCTCATTTGGGGTTTCTGTGTTTGGAGTAGGAGGCCCTTGGCCCGGCCTCCCACACCTCCCACGGCTGCCCCAGAAGGCAGGGCAGATGTCTCCAGGAAGCAGCCAGCCATGTCAACCCCAGATGCATATTTGGAGAGGGAGTATTCATAATGACACCTGCCATGTGTCACGAAGTCACACCCCTTCAGAATGTTCTGTCTACATCTACAGCTTATTCCCTCCTTACCCAGTTCTGTGTAGAAAGATAATCCTTATCCTCCAACCTGGCCAGGGAAGTCACCGAGGCACAGGGAACTGGCTTTGCTCAAAATGATTACTCCTGAGTGACAGATGTGGGATGGGAACCAAGACCTCCAGCTGGGTTCCAGGACCCACTTTCCAGGTCCTTTCAAAGCAGCACACATGGCAGCCAAACCCATGCTCTGAAGCTTGGCAAAGCAGCACTGCGGCTGAGCCACGTCCCAGGTCTGGCCACCACGTGGCCAGGCAGCCCTTCCCCTGCCATGCCCCCTCCTCATTACGCATCCTGGAATCTCCACAGTGGTGAAAAGTGTCTCTATATTTCGGGACAGTCTCCCATGTGGGGGGCTATTGCCATATTCAGATAATTAACCCTTTGTAATATTTATATCAAAAATGCTACCCGAGCAGACTGGGTGCTGGATACATTTAGCCAGATTTGTGATTATTGAAAATGCACATGTTCTTTTATGTCTTCTCCTTAGAGACACTGATTGTTTCTCAGTTGTGGAAATAATTAATAGAGCATTTCCAGCGTGCCTATAGGGATGATGTAATAAGTGTCGGCTGACACAGTCCCACCAAGGACGTTTCCTCCACTTCCTGCGGACGGACCCCTCGGACTGCATCACTGGGCGGGGACACTGCAGCCTGTGAACTGCACTGACTTTCATACCAAACCTTGTTTGTACTGATTTTAGCAGCAGCTGCACAGAGGAAGGAAATTGTGTCCCTTTATTGTAGAATTTGAACTTCTTAACAATTACCAAAAAAACACTTAGAGCCCCCAGATAGATATCGTGACAGAGGCAGGGACAGTGTTTACTTAAAAACTTCCCAGAATTGCAAAAAAACAAAGTCTTTGGGGGCTAAGTTCCCTTAACTGTTTGATCCCCACAGGCCTGGGTGGTGTCCATGCGACTTTGCTGGATGGATGGTGCCAGGAGGGAGGGGGGATTCAGCAGAGGGGGACGGCATTGGGAGCGGCAAGTGATTGTCAAGACCCTGCATGTTCTTCCCAAGTCCCTTCAAGTCTCCTCAGCCAGCCTTCTCAGAACCTCAGCTGGACAGGGCCCCAGCTCCAGCTCTGCTGTGACCAGCTCCTCATGTCTCCTCACGGCACTTGTCCCTCAGTATTAAATAGCCTGTCACCCATGCAGTGCATCTCAAGGCTTGTCTTTGGGTCATGTTCAAGCCCATGCTTGCTTTGCACTCACCCTCTGAGAAGCAGGCCAGGGGTCCTCAATTCTAGCAGCTGCAACATAGAACCATCTGAGGAGCTTTGAAATTTGCCCCAGAAATTCCCATTTGTTTGTCTGGAGTGGCCTGGGCATCAGGGGTCTTTAGAAATGTGCTGGCTGTTTTCTCAGGACTCGAGGTTCAGGAATGCCTGTGTGGACTGTTGGCTCATGAAGTCATCTTGGAGGGTGGGTCGTGTCAGGGCTTCCACAGGTCCTCAGTCGTCATAGCACAGAATAACAACCAGTTTCCCCATCTGGTGGCTGGAGAACCTGGCTTGCAGTTCTCATCTTCATATCTTTTATAATGACACAAGAGACTAAAGTGAATTAGGGTCCCATGGGGTGGCTTAAGCACATTTGTGGTACTGAGTGCGCAAAGAAATCCCAGCCCAGCCTGAGCCAGGAAGCGGGAAGATGCGGAGGCGCATCCAAAGCCCATCCAAAGGTGTCCACTGCACCTTACTGGCCCAGTGGTACTGGTTGAGTCTCTGTCCCTCCCCTCCCACTTCTCAGGTGACTGACATTCACAGTGTATTTTGCAGTGACTCTGGACGCGGGAGCAGCCTCTTAGACAGAACTATCGCCGACAGACGACAGCTTAACACAATCACTTTGCCAGACTTCAGTGATCCCGAGACAGGTGAGAATCCAAAGTCAGAGGGGACAAAATGGTGTCCAAGAGGACGTGGGGCCAGCCACTGAGTGGAGTGGCCAGGCTGCGGGGCCAGGGTGGGGAAAGCTCTGCTCAAAGGTGATGCATAGCTGACGCATGCCCCCCCCCGGGCTCCTCAAGCGTTGGGTCATGGTGGGGAAAGGAAGGTTATTTGCTCAGCACAACCCTTTGAAATCTGTTTTCCCTGGCTCTGAAGCTTGAAATGTGAAACTAAAATTAGGTGGTTTCCATGCTATCCCGTTTCCCCTGTTTTTCTGCCTCCCTTTAGGGCTTCGGACATTGCCGACATCCATCATTCTGATTTCTAGTCAGTTGCACACGCAAACACACGTATACCCAGAAGGGCCTGTGGGGCAGCAAGTGGATTCTGAGCTGTTTCATTCCACTGTCCCCACCCCCAATGGCCCGTTACACTTACTGCCTCTGAGCAGAGATTTGTACTTTTGTTTGTGTGCACCACATACGCTACAGTACAGGGAGAATGCCCCCCTAATTTCCACAGCTCCAAATGACTATTCCAGCAGTAACACTGACTATTCAGTGACAATTTTAGGGGCTCAGTAGACTCACAAAACAAAATGAAATTCACTCAGCTTTGAGCCTCAAAGGTAGTTCTAGAACATCATTTAGAACCCACTTCTCTCTCTTCTCCCCCACCCACAAGGGACCCACTAAGGCTTAATTCCTATCTGGATATGCCTGGTCTTTAATGGGCTGTCTTCATGAAAGGAACCTCAAAATCCCTTTTCTGTCCTTGTGCCATGTCCCAGTTCCTGACAGAGCCCATCCCCTGGAAAATCCAACCCCAGGCAGGGTAGGGGGAATAAGGCCTCTGGGAGGCCCCTGTGGTGCTGGGTCCAAGGGGTACTCAGGGCTGCCGCAGACCGCACTCCCGCCAGGCTCCCTCCACCCAACTGGAAGTCAGCCTGAGAAGTCAGACCAAGGCTCTCAGCTTCTGTTCAGACTGCAAACTAACCAAACCACAGGAAGTCCTCCACCCCGGGAGAGGCCTGTCCCCTGGATTGGTCAGTCATAGGTGGGCAGCACAGCAGAGCTCTGCCTCATGGGTGTGCTCCTTCCCTGCAGCTGATGGACTCCTCACTCTTATAAATGGAGGGTCAGGCTTTAGCAAGGCTGGGACATAGGGAGGGTAGAGAAGCCAGCTGCGTTCACTCTGGCCCCCTGCAGCGACTTGGGCTGATTTACAACAGCTTCTGTGGATGCCCTGGGCTGAGTGCCCCTCTGGCTCCCTCTTTAGTGTCCTGTAGGACAGTCATTCTAAATCTAGACCCCATTTCCTTCCAGCTTGCTTGGGCCTTAATTTCCCAAGACTTGAATGCCACATCACATTGAAAACAGATAGTGATGGAAAATACATGAGGCCCTTGTCCATCCTCCCGTTTGCTCCCTGGGATGGTTTCCCCAGAACTCCCAGGAGGCTCCTCTTCAGGGTGGACCTTCTCAGATGCCATGTTGTCCAGGGGGCTGGGGCCTGCTGCCCCAGGGTGGGCCTAGCCCATTCCTTCTCCTTACCCTTGGCCTTAGTAGTGGCTGTGCAGCTGCTCTCCCAGGAGGGTCCCCTGGTCACTCCCCAGGAGCACAGGTGTTGGATTCTGGATTACTGGTTCCCATGCCCTTTCTGAACAATGAGGAGGAACTGCAGCCCCAGGACTCAGGCCAGCAACCATTTTGTTGTCACAGTTGTTATGCAGAAAGGAATCCCTCCCTTTGGTCAGTCTCCAGTGCCCCAAAATGTTGTTTGAACACCATTGATTGACCTGAGACACCAGGGAAGCAGAGGTGGAAGGCCATGTGAGGGGGCCTAGTCAGTCACAGGCTGTTTTATTACAGAGTCAAATATTCTGAAGTGACAGTGTAAGTCAGGGAAACTGAAAGATTGGAAAGGAAGTAAAAGGACACTAGTCTGGAGTAATAAAGCCCCGTTTTGCTTAGCTGGGCTCTGGGCGTGGTCTCAGGAGAGGCCACCCTCTTACTCACACACCTGTGCAGAAAGCCTGCCTGTGGAGCGCCCTCTCATCTTGACTTTGTTTCAAGAGGAAATCCATTTCATAACTCGAAAGCCAAACTCTAACTCTGAATATACCACAGAGAAGTGTTGCTGCCCTCCCTTACCTTTCCCTAGAGGGGCCATTTTTGTTAGCTTCTATTTACCCTCCACTGCTCTTTTGTGCACATAAGCACAGGTGTGCTTTCCCACACTCCTTACGTAAGCAGCCACATGTGGTGTGTGCAGCTCAGCGCCTGACCTTCTTCCCTTCCCAGCAGATCCTGCAGATGCCTCCATAGCTGTCCACAGAGAATTTCCCATCCTGTTTCATAGCTGTGAAACATGACCCCCACCTGTCACAGTCGGGACTCCTAGCCACCCGGCCTGACCTCGGGCATTTTCCTTCCCTCAGTCTTCAGCTCAGTGGTGCTCAGAGAGCTGGCTAATTTTGAACATCCACTGGAGCCCTACTTATTTAGGAAAGCAACTGAGCTAAAGAACAAAAGGGAAAAGGAACCCATCCAAGGTCAGAATGGTCCCAAAGTGACAGAAAAGACCCTGAGATATGGTCTGGGAGAACCAAGCTCTAGAGGTAGCAGTGTATCTTTAGCATTGGAGCAGGCTGGGTCCACGCCTGACCGCTTTCCCAAATTCCCTTTAAAGGGCACCAGCACCCAGCATGAGCACAGTCACTCAGTGCTGGCGTTCAGAAGAGTACATGGTCAGTGCCATGGTGAACTTCCACCATCATGATCCATCAAATGTTGTTTGGCATTGGCAGGATCATGACCCAGGACTCCACACTATGCAAATGATCCCAAGAGGCCACAGGCCCTCTTGGAGCGGTTTTCTTTTCTTTTTTTTCCAGAACTAAATTTATTCATTATTTTATTTTTTAATATTTATGATGGAGAATAGTCAGATATACCAGAAGAGAGATGCTAATATGAGTGAACTCCCATCTCCTACTCCATCTGCAGCAATTAGTGCTCTGTTCCATCTCTTTCTCTCTAATATAAAGGAACTTTAAAATATATATCACAATACCATTATCACACACCTGGGTCTTGAAGCCTGCAGACTCACTGCTCTTGATTCCAGAAGTGTTCAATTAACTGGAATATCATTTCCCACTGTGTGCAGATCTGTGGGAAAATACAGGGAACTCACATCTGTGAGCTTTGGATGGGCCTAGTCCATGGTAGCTAACAGAGCAGGACAGTGTTCAGATGGATGTGGCCACCAAGAAAGCCCCCTTCCAGAACATGCTTCCCCCCACATCTCTGTCATCTAATTCACCCCAGCCAGTGAAAAAGGGGAGTCAAATGGAGTGACAGTCTTTACTTTGAAGCTATGAGTCATTGTCTTTTCTTTGGAATAGGTTGGTAGTTCCTTAAATAGAGGATGAAAAAAATTATTTTTCTTCCTCTTGCCTTCAAAACAGGATGTGGGGTAAGGGGATTTATCTTTAATCATTGGTAGATATTACCGGATACCTCTCCCAAGCCAAATAATTTTTTTTAACTTGAAAGTTTGATCCATTTTGTTTGGGAAAGTTTCTTCTTACAGCTGTGGGGGTCTCAACATTGCCACATCTCTCTCCAGCTGTAAGATGTGAAGGCAGCAGGGCAGGCTTCCTTTTCCGAGTGCCCGACTAGTGCACCCCACCACTGTAGACCACTTCAGAAAGCTTTCCTACCACTCCATCATCACCATGCTGAGCCCGTGACGTCATTGCACCCAGCACACTGCACCTTGGGAAACTGTAGTTTTGAAGTGGACCTTATATAAGTGCTTCTCATGAAAAACAAATCTATGGAAAGTCAAATTCTAACCCTTTCCAGTTGAAAAGCCAGTAGTGTCCTAGAGAATACCCTAGACATTGTAGGTTAAACGTGTATTATTTTCGGTGGCTCACACTGCTGACTCTGCCCAGGTATATCTGCGTTACATTTGTTCCATAATATCATTGCAAAACAATTAAATAACCAGTGGAAAAACAAATTTGTTTTCTTCGAAAAGCACTTGTATTGTATTCTCAAATAGAGGAATGATTGTGTATTACATGACTTCATTTTCTTTGCAGCTTATGTGAGTATATTTAAAGCTAGTTTATTTTTTCTTTGTGTTTTAAAGTTTGTTTTGTTTTGCCTTTATCCTTTTTTTTTCCTCTCTTTTACTTTTTTAGTGTCAGAGTGCTCCTCCTCCTCCTCCTCTCCTTCAAGAACCGAATCTCCTCTCCACCTGTTTGTATCTTCTCGTCTCCATTCTCATCCCAAACCTGATACCTTTGTGTGGCCCCCTGCGCCTCATTCATTCAGTGACTCAGGTCCCCGCCGGGAACCCTCTCTCTGTAAACATGGCTTTTCCTTTCTTGTCAGACCTGCTTCATTTGCCTGATGTTCTAGTTTCTGATAATCTTCCTAACTGATAAGCTGGATAGGAAACTCCCATCAAATTTGTCACAGAGAAGACCTTGCTTGTTTGAAAATTCAAAGCTGGTGGGGCAGGAGGAATCCTGGGGTTGTAGACATTAGTGTCCAGGTTCCAATCTGTTCTGGAAGGAAGGAGACTGGTCCTCAACAGAACTTACTGGATTTTCCTAGAACATTACTCTTTACTCTTGGGTCCTTCTCTGGATTTGATAAAAATACATAAAAAGTAATCCTGTTAAAGAAAAGGCAAATTACAATATTTTGCAAATAATAATTTAATCCTAAAAACTTCTGGGTTTCAACTTAGAAATGAATTTAGTTCAACTACCATATACTAATCAAGGCCATACTCTAAAGATAATGGGCATATGCTGTTAAGTATGTGGTTCTCACAAGGGACTTTAAGGTCTGCCAGTCTCCTGGGCTCCACCCACAAGGTAAATGGGCCTGAGGCGGGGCCCAGGAATCTGGATTTGTAAACCACCCCTATGGTTCCAATGCCAGTGGGTGTGGACCACATTTTTGAGAAATGGTGCTATAAATTGTTTTCCATTTTGCAAGGAAAGAAAACGTTGGGTTTGTGTCATTAAACCACATAGGGAAATTGAACAGCATTTTAGTCTAATCTTGCTTTTAAATAATACAGAAATTCTGAAAGTCTACTTTAGGGAGTTCTAGAATCTGTCAATTTAAAAAAAAATCCCTTTATTAAAAGGGATGCAACACTGATTGGTAAAGTCCTTAAAAAGGACCTAAATACGGATTTCCCCGGAGAGCCTATCCTTGTTTTCTTTCACTCATTTATTTAATGTGCACTTTGCTGCCAGCACTGCCAGAAAATTTAATCTCTGTATCTGTGATTTATAAGGGCTCATCTTTGTCCCAAAGGCTCAGTTATGTGCTAAAGCAAAGCTCCTAAGTGGGATGGCTGCCAGAAGGAGCTGCCTTCTTTCCTGGGCTCTTCTCTAGGATGGCTCGGAGCTGCTGACCCACAGAAAGCCAGCACAGGAGCGCAGGGCTCGCCTGAAGTAAACCATCCACACTGAGCAACACCCTGGCCTGCTCCTCTGCATGTGGAGTGTCCCGAACTTGGCTGTAATGGCAACCCAGGGTTTATGAAATAGAAGATGAAGATAACATTTACAAACTATCAAAATAAGACACTTTCCCTTAATACAACGGCCAGCTTTGATTTTTCAAAAAAAAAAAAAAAAATTGTTTTTAACATTGACTTCTGCTGAGTTTGGGATCTCACTGTCCTAGCACAAAATTATAGGTTTGCACTGCCTGTCCCTTCTGCACAGCTGGCCCAGCCACCTCTGCAACCTGCGGGTTCCTACATTTCAGGGAGCTCTGTGTTCCTCTAGGCCTTTGAAGCCTGGGGTTCTGGCTCTTCCAGTGGGGCACATCAGGTGAACTGGCTAATTGTGGGATGATGAGCACCCACTCACCTTTCTGCTGAACGTAGTGCATCCCAAGCCACACTTAGCATTTATTCTTGGTGAAGCCAGCGTCCTTGTTTCAGCTAAGCTTGAAGCACCCAAGGGACACCTAGTCAAGGGGGGACCTACTGATAAATGTAGAATTTCTTGACTATAGTTGTAAGAATTTTGATCCCAATTCTTTCCTAGGAAAAGCAGGTAGCCAAGGCCTGAGGTTTTATGAATTTCTACCTCTTGCCCTTTGACATCCTAGGAATAAAAATTAGCCCAGCCCTGCACATTGTTGGACTCAGGATTAGGGTTACTATGTGGAAAGATCCAAACCCTGCTCGTTTCATTATTTTTCCTTCCTTTTGGAATTTCCTGCTCTGGAAGCAAAGCACATTACATGAATTGGTCAACTTGTGTGCCGGGTGCACGTGGAGAGGGAATGTCCACTGGCCTTTGTGTGGTTAAAAAAATATGTGTGTGTGTAGGTGTGTGTGGTGTGTGTGACTCCTGAACTGAAATCTAATTCCAGACAGCCAGACTTACAGTTGGAAGATTATTAGAACTCTTTGTGTTTTTAGCCTTAATTTTGGATTTTTCAACTATTTTGTTTCTTGGTTTTAATTTTTGGTTTGATCTGTTGTTCCAAGGCAACTCTCCAGAAGCATACTTTCATGGTTTTCCTTCCCTTTTTTCAGTTAGTAAGTAGTTTACCAATCTATTAACCCTTCCGAGGGGCTCCAGAGTCACACCTTCCTCCACTGTGGTGTGTGTGCTGTGGTTGTCCAGTGTTGGGATGTTGGGGTGCTGTGGCCCTCTCGCTGCCGCCTGCCTGCCTGCTCTGCCACTTGGGACCAGCTCCCCTATGATGCCAGGGCACCAGCACAGCCTGGTTCAAACACTGTGAGGCAGTATTGGTCTGAGAAGGACTACAGAGGAAGGAGTGTCTGGGAAATGGCCCAGGTTAGGGCAGGCAGTGGACAGATGGCACTTATTGAAAGTGTGGCCCTGGCCCCATGGTGGATCTCCTGTGAGTGATAGGTAGAGAGAACCGGTTGAATCTCGACATCCTTTCCGGTGTAGCCACTGTTGAAAAGCCACTGTAGAAAAGCCATCCTTGTTGTTAATTTTTCTAAAGGCAGATATCATAAAACTTAAAAGCGCATCTACCACTACCAAAAGTCAAAGGAGACTAAGCAATTCCCCAGAAGTAGGATTCGTGCTTTTAAGTCATTGGTGAGTGATCACATTCCCTAAAAGATGTTTCCTATGCCCTTTATTTATTCTATCTGGTCAAATTTTGGGAAATGGTCTGTCTCCTGCCTAGAGATTCCTAGCTCACATGAGTATATCACAGGCTCCGCAGAATCTTGCAGTTTAAAAAAGTCAAGATTCTTGACTTTGACCTAGTCTTCCCAAGCTAATTTCATCATTTTTACATCCCACGGTGTCTGTGTTCCTTGGGTCACACTTGGGAAGCTGCAGATAAATGTTTCTGTTCATCTCAATGATCTGAGCCCCACTCATGGCAGTCGCGCCCCCCCACATACCCCAGAACATGACTTCCCTCTCTGAAATCCAGCCCGAGCTAGCTGTGGTGTCCCTAATAATAAAGAGGCATGTTTTGATATTGGCATCACATTAGAGTTCTTCATAAAAAGATTTCACTGCCAAATCCCCTTCCATATCGAGCTCCTAGGGATACTAAAAGTCCTTCATTTTCAGAAAGTCAGGCTACATTAAAACCTTCAGGCAGCCCTGACCGGTGAAGGTGAAGTTTGATATATTTATGCTAAAACATTTTCCATAGAAATAGCTTCAAGTCCCTCAAAGGAAGCCAGAGTTCAAGGGCTGGTTCAGCAGTGGAGCCTCTGCAATTCATCTGATCTCTGGGCCTTAGTTTCCTCATCTGTTAAAAAATGTAAATTTAATCCTTATTTTATATGCCTTTATGGTTTGGCAGTAATGGATCCTAATTTTAAGACCCAGCCAGGTGCCTTTCTTCCTGAGACACACCTGGGCAGCTGTGGCTCCCATAGGCCTCACTGACTCCCCAGAATGAAAAGAGAAGAAAGGGCTGGGCAGGGCTGTCTCCACACTGCTGTGCTCTGCTCCCAACCCGAGGACCCCAGAATGTGTGCAGAAGTTCTGCTCCTCTCCAAGAACATGATGAAAAATCAAGGTGCCGACTTGGGTTCTGACTCAGTTTTTCATAACACTGATAATAGTGAGACTGTTGCACTCTTTGGTAGTGAGTCACTGGGAGAGGAGAATAAACAGATTAATGAAAGAACACACCACTAAAGTGAAATAAGATGGAGAAATGAATTTAAGATAGAAGTGGGTGGTTTCTCTTCCTTTATGGCCAGCATTTTATCGTTGGGTTTGTATTTTCTAACATTCAAGATTGTGTATCATGGCTGGCCAGGTGGCATATCCTTACCTCTGCTCCTGCTTAATTAAGTAGTGTTTTGAAAATGTATGTATCTATGAAAACATTACTCTAGCAATTACCCTACCATTTTTGAGGAGTTGTGGTTTATAAAATTCATCCCTGCTATATATAATCTTTTCAAATAGAACCTTTTCTTACTGTTTAGATTAAATTAATATTAATTTTAATGTAATTCTCCTTAACTAGTTCTGTGTAAGATTGAATGGAATTATTAAGAGATTGACAATTCAATAAAAAAATGGCACTCAGATAGAATCAGGTGTCCAGATTTAGAATAGCACCTGGCAGACCTTCCCCAGGGCGCAGCAGAGAGAAACACTTCGAGGCTCACAGGGCAGCAGCCTCCCCAGCAGAAGGGCACCTGGGCCCAGAGCTGCAGCCTCATGAATATGCAAAGGGAGGGTTTGGGTGACCAGGAAGCCTCTGCCCACAGTAGTCCTCCAGAAGGTACTGTCTCCAGCCCAGAGCCACCTCCTTGCACTTGGACAGCTGGTACCCTCCGCTTGTTTGTGAGCAGCTTCGCACCATGCTTTTTCCTGTGTGACCACCTGGCCCTGCCAACTCCTGCCAGCAGCATGCTGTGCTGGCCTCGCATGCCCACCCGTGACAACACGCCCCTGCCTTGGTGGGTCCTTCCCTGAAGCTTTCCCTGGAAAGAGCTTCTCCCTCTCAGGATTAGACACACCCTGTCAGGGTTAAACTGTGGTTGATCCTCTGTTCAAGTTGTTGGGAAACTGTAATCTCGTCTTGGGGCCAGGTCTGGCTGTCCTATCTGTTTTGCACTCAGAAAAAGGGAAGTTCTGCTTGGAACCATGACCAGAGATGCTTGTCCAAGGAACTGCAGCAGGAGGCAGCAATGACAGAGGGGTTCAGGTGGGGGCAGTCGTTGCCCAGGGAGCTCTGCAGCCCTGGTCACTCTGGCACAGAAAAGAAGCCACTATGGAAAGGAGACCTGGGACAGCACAGGGAGGAGTCACCACCCCTAGTCAGCCTTCCCAGAAAAGCAGGTCTACCGTCTAGCAAAGATGGGGATGTCCCTAGCTCCCCAAGAGAGGGAGGCCACCAAAACTTTCATGGAGAAAAAAGGAGTGGGCTGTCATGTATCTTAGTGGTAGAGCACTTGCCTAGCAAAAGGACCTGGGTTTCATCCCAGCACCACAAAATAAAAATTTTTAAAGGATCCAGAGCCAGGCACTGTGGAAAATGCCTGTTATCCCAGCAGCTCGGGAGGCTGAGGCAGGAGGATCACAAGTTCAAAGCCAGCCTCAGCAAAAGCCAGGCACTAAGCAACTCGGTGAGACCCTGTCTCTAAATAAAATACAAAATAGAGCTGGGGATGTGGCTCAGTGGTCAAGTGCCCCTGAGTTCAATCCCTGGTACACGCCCTCCCCCCCCCCATATTTAATATGTTTAAGTTAGGGAATGAAGTTAGAGTGGCTCTCCTGTCTCTTCCCAGACCTTGGCCTTCCCTCTTTCAGCCCAGATCATTCTGATTCCCGGAGCACCAGGGCAGCTGTGGAGACAGAAGGTCAAGGCTGCCAGCCGTCTGCAGTGTTGGGCTGGTGTGTGTCCTAGCCCTGTCTCAGAAACACTCTTCATTTCCTTTGAAAAATGAAAATGCTCAGCAGGCCAGCCAGCAGAATGCTTAGTCACCAGGGTGGCTGATGAGTGCCCAGGGTCTTCAGACAGCCAGGCTGCTTTGTCTTGTGTAGCAGTTTTGGTGGCACGGTGTCTAAGCACTAGAAGCTGAATCCTGTATCCACAGACAATACTGAATGATTTTGAGACTGAAGGGAGACAGACAGAGATTCATCAGTACTGGGTGATTCTGCGTGGCTGATGCTGGAGTGGCACAGTTTCTTTTCAGAAAAATGTGGAGAGGGGAGGTATTGGCTGTGGCAGCAGGAGGTAGAATGCGGGTGACGACGGAGATGGGACGCAGGGCGCCACCACGTGCTCCATCATCCTCCCATGTCTATACACGTGAGCCAGCCCTCCAAGGCTGGGAGGCGGAGGGCCGTCCGGGCCCTGAACGTCCATGTGCCAGATATGTCTACCTATGTCTCTTTTGTAGGGGACTTTTTTATGTTCCACATAATGGAACAGTTGCCCATTGTTCCTGACACTGGGACATGCAGCGAGGCCCAAGCTGGGCAGCATTTCACCCGAGATCTAGTTCATCCTCTCCTCGCTGTGAGGACACGAGGGGAGAGGGCAGGCACAGGGTCCTTCAGACTGAAGCCACTTGTCTAATCCAGCAGGAAGCCAAAGGGACAGCTGGAATAGAAACATGCCAGGCAGTTGGGGACCCTGCTGTGAAAACAGGGTGATCTGAATAACCGGAGCCACTTAATTTTTTTCTAGCTTTTGCTTAAAATTATCAGCTCTGAGATCCCTTTGATGAACTTTGATGGTAAAATAGGGCTCATACCCAGCTGCTGCATTTGAAGCAGACCAGAGGCTTCTGTTTCCTTCAGCGGAAAAGGCACATTGGGAAGATTTCACTGCCGAGCAATTGGCTGTTGGCGTGTCCTACTTGTCGCAGGGTTTCTCAGAGAGCCTCAGCACTTGGCGGGGAGGCTTGCACAGGTTCAGAGCGTGGGCTCGCAGTGTCTGGAGATCAGTGGCCTAGGTTCCTGCCCCTCTCAACTCTGAGAAAGGTCTTTCCAACACAGTTCCTGGTACCCCCTGTAGCACGTCCACCCGGTCATCAGAGGATACCTAGAAGAAAGCACCAGATTAGGAAGCAGAATAGTTCCTCAGGTGGCACTTTGCTTTGTATCAGCGTCTGAGATGGTCCAGGCTCGAAAACCACTGGCCTGAGGAAATCCCCTAGCCTCTGCTCCAGCATCCTGTGTCCTGGACTGTTCTGGCAATTAGGTCACAGAGCTTGGGCCAGGTTTGAGGATGTACTCTTCCCTGCCTGCATTGCTGCTCAGCATAGTGGCTTCTCCAAGCCACTGTGTCCTGAGGGGAAGGGGCGCATCACTGTGGCAGAGCCCAGCAGCTGCTTTACAGCACACAGGCCCCAGGCGTGGCTGTGATGAGACCTTCTCCAATTAGTGTGGCTAATAAGACAGGAGGAGCCAGGCACCGGCCTGCTCACTCGTGGAGCCAGGTGATTTGGAAACATTTCTCTAGACTTGGATTTTATATTGGATCCATGTCCTCAATTCTTCTGATTCCCTTTGCAAGCCTCAATTTGTCCATTTCCACCAGAGGTTGTACAAATGTAGGGATGCAGCTTCTTTGAGAAGAAAGAAGAGTTCCTTGAAATGTGTGGGTTAGAGCCAGCATTTTTGTGGTTTACCTGCCTGAATCAAAGTCCAGGGTCTGTCCTGGCACCTCCTCAGTCCTATGGAACAGTAAGACACAGGTTGTCTTGGTTTTTTTTTTCTTTTTTTTTTAATCATTCCCCAAATTCTAATCCCATGGAAGACATTTATTTATCGTGTTATTGCCAGGAATAGTAGATGCTAACTATTCTATACTTTTACCATCGTCATTAGTCATCTGCTATTATTAACAAATCTCTGAACGATTTAATATCCTGGTTCAGAATGTGAAGGCTGTGGCCTTGTGAAGTATGGGTGACAAGGAGTCGACTGAGGAGGGAAGAAGTGCTTATGGAAAACCTGCCACCATTCTCTGTTTTAATGGGCTAGTTACATTGGCGGGGAGTCACTCACAGACACCTGATGTTTAACTATCTGCCACCAACACTTTCAGTCCAGGTTGGTAGAAGTGGTGACAGCAGCACTAAAAAGCCCTCGGGAACAGTGATGGTTCTGGCCTTGATCCTGTATCAGGGAGGAAGGTGGACACGGCAGGCACACATCCAAAAGTGGGATGCTCTTCCGAATGTCGCATGGTGACATTTTCTGTTTCTGCTGCCCGTCCACTCACCCCAAGGGTGGGCCTGGCACTATTGTTCTCTGCAGAGTCCTAAACAGAGGAGATACCCTTCCTTCTACAGCAAGACAGTGACAGTGACAGCCACAGGGAAGCAGCAAGGACGCAAGGAAGCCTCACTGCAGGGAGGAGCAAAAGATCGCAGCCACCTCCCCAGAGGAGGTAGCCTCGGAGCTGGGCTTAGAGGCTGGACTTAGAGTCAGGCCAGTTCAGTCCTGGTTTTGCCACCGCTTGGCTATGTGACTTTGGATAGTTACATAACCTCATCAAGTCTCAATTCTGTCACCTAAACAATGCAAAAAACATTATTATTCCCTGCCTCCCAGCGTTGTCGAAAGTGCTAGTCACACATCCTGAAGTGGTCTGTCCCCCATGGTTGATGACCACCAACACTGCCGAGGTCAACTCCTCATCTTCCAGACTCCATTCACAGTGGACTCGATTGCAAGGCTAAGAATTAATTAATTTAGTCACATGTAGATCTCACAAAGAGAAGGAACTTTGACAATAGTTTTTGATTAGTTCATTTGTGGACCAAATAAATAGTTCATCCAAAAAACAAAATTAACCCCTCCAAAAGCCACAAGTCCTGGTGGCAAAGGAGTCATAGAACCTGGTAGGAATTTTATGAATTCTTCTACTGCCCATTGTGCATTATTATCTTTAAATGAATCAATAACTGAATATTATAAACCTCAGTTTCAGTTTTCTAATATGGTAACTAAATATCAACAGATAAAACCCACATAAATCCCTTTAGTGTCTTTAATAATTTTCTGAGTCCAAAGGGATTCTCAGGCTGAGTCCGAGACCCTGTGTTCTGGAAACAAGTTCTTAGGAGTTTTGCCCAGGTGACCATGGGCTACAGGGAAGTCACAGCACTCCAGCTGCCAGCCTGGGTCCAGTCTCTTCCTGACCATGTGTTAGTCACAGCTGCTCCTGTCCCTGCAGGCAAGCAGTTCTGGGCTTGACTGCATGTTAGAAGTATGGGAGGTGGTCACCAAATAGATGCCTGGCCATGCCCCGAGAGTTAGTGACTCCTCTGTGTAGGCTATCCTTGCAGCGCCATGATTTCTAACCCTCAATGACTGTGATGTGAAGTCAGTGTTGAGAATCCCTGTTCCAGACAAACTAGCATGATAATGGCAGAATAGAGCAGCAGCAGCAGCAGCTACGTCCGGGATAATCATCTGTTTAACCCATCATTGCTACTGAAAGTCTCAGGGAAGCTATATCAAGTCATTCTTATCAAAGTTAAAATATTGTTTTGTATCAAACAAAATAAGACTAAAAATATCCATGGCAGTTTAATCATTTTGCTCTTTAGGTTGCCAAAAGATAGTTAGACATATTTGTCCAAGTTCATAGCCAGACTTTGTTCGTTAGCCCATTCATGAATGCCATCAGTTAGACTCTCTCGTCTTGGCCTCAGTTGCCTTTCCTGAATGGCCACTTTCCCTCTGGCACACTTCTGAGGCCTTTCCTCCAGGTGATTATCCTCTCAGGCATCCTTGGGGCCTGTCTGCAGATTATCTGCCTGGGGAAGGTGGAATGCCTTCCCTTTAGTAGATTTGATTTACATCCACCAAACCCATCAAAGGATTTGAGTGTAGTTAGAAGAATTCACACTACTGTCATGTTGCAGTCAAACCACATGGATGGCCAATTATTACTGCAGATCCTCTTAAAGTCAATAAATGATGTGCATTCCAAATCCCAACTGAAAATATGTTTATGCCTATGACTTTGTATTATCCAGAGTAGAATAAACTTGCTTTGTTTGCATAGTCAGCATTTTAAAATTTTGAGACCATGTCTCTTTATGTTGCCTACGCTCGTCTCAAACTTGTGGGTTAAAATGATCCTCCTACCTCAGCCCCCACCCCACCCCCCACAAGCTGCTGGGGCTATAGGCACATGCTACCCCCAGCTTCGTCATCAGCATTTATATTTACATATCTTCACTGTTTGGAACTTCATGATGAGCTGATAGTTACGAATAACAGTGTTGAAATGTGTATCTCTGTAAATTATAAATAAAGAATGTCACAGGTGAATATAAACATTAACAGTTTTAAATTTGAAATAAGTGCTCTCAGTTCCAAAATCATACCTCCAGGAGTGTTGGACAGGTGGGGAGCGAGCCCTGTTTATGGAGGTCTGTCTCCTAATGTCAGGTCCTCTGCAAGGCACCCTGCATTTTGCCTCACTCTCCACACTGTGCCTTTGCCTGGCACTGTGCTCGGTGGTGTCTTTCTTAGCCTTTCAGGACAGCAGGTTTTACAGAAGAGTTAGGCAGGTATTGTGACCCCAGGTGTCTTAGCCATCCTCCACAAGTCAGGGATTAGCCTTAAGACTAGATGCTGGCTTACCCTGGGACAAAGGGTCCTTTTTCTGCAGTATGTAGGCCATGCCATGGGATACAACTCCCAGTCCAGGGGTGTTGCCCACCTCAAAGGCCCAGCTCCATTAATGACATGGGAAATTGTTGGACTGTCCTGAGAATGGCCATCAGTCTACTCTAGTTGCTGCCTTGGAGGCAAGCACGGTGCTCCCTGCCCTCTCCTGTAGAGTTACCAAGTTTAGGCCCTTACAGGGTGCTTTGTAATGTCCCTTTGTAGCCCTTCATTCACGCCATTTGTTAACACTGTATCACTGCTGTGTGTCTAGCTGTTTCCCTTCCTGCTCCCAACACTCACTGTGCCGTGCTAAGCTCCTGGAGGGAGCCCTTGGCCTAGCATGCGCTCTGCGTGTTGACTGCAGGATCAGCCAAAGCAAAAGGAGGAGACTGAGGTTCCAAGCCTTAATGGTCCTGATTTCTTTATGGGCAGAAACTCAGAAACATCCTGGAAAGGCTGTGTGAATGTTGTGCACTGTGTCTGTGTCTGGGAGGGGGTCGTCTGCCTGGTGTGTGGCGGTTGATCTGCCTTTTCGCTCCTGATACAGTATTCTCGAAACCTCTCATAGGCTCTGTCCACGCCACGTCAGTAGCAGCCTCGAGAGTGGAGCAGGCACTGTCAGAAGTGGCCTCATCTCTGCAGAGCAGTGCCCCCAAGCAGGGCCCACTACATCCCTGGATGACGTTGGCACAGATCTGGCTCCACGCAGGTACAGCTCTGCTCCTTTCTTCCTTGAGGGCTCCTCCACCCGCCCACTACCCACAACCCACTCCTGGGCCAGAGGCTGCAGGGTCCTGCCAGCGCTCAGCTGTGGTACTAGGACCCCTCATGAGGAGAAATCAGAGCCTCTGCGGTCAAGCACCAAACTGCTCCTTCTGTTCCAGGGCATGAGTTACTCTCTCCCTGTCCCACCATGCTCACAGCTGACCCTGAGCCTCGCCTAGAGCGGCAGCCACCAGGAGAGGTTTTCTGAATGGGACTCAAGATTCCTGGGGGGTCTGCCGTGTGGGGTGCAGGGTTTGTGCTGAAGATGGACCAAAGCTATACCCTGCACTGTCTTTGTGGGTGACTTGGAATCCCAGGTGTGCTCCTTATTGGCTGAGTAGACTTGAGTTCTGCGTAGTAGAACAGTAGCTTGACCTCTGCCTCATCTACAGGGTGGGGTTAGAGTAGTACATGATGAGCAACGTACATGACACGTCCCAGCAGCCAAGAAATCTCCAGGAGAGAAACAAGGGCTGTTAGTTTCACAGATGTCTTTATCAAGGCCAGGGCAGGGGCAGTGTTCCTATTCCCCTCTGATGGCACCATGGATGACCCACAGAGAGGGAGGCAGTAGCAGTAGCCACTGGTCTGGAAGCTGGCCGGGAAGCCAGTTTGGTCACCTGCCCTAGCTCCATGTGGCAGCCAGCTGGCTCAGGGTTTTTCTGTGCACCCAGAAATCTCAGAAGTAAGTCCAACACACGGGCACTTTGGCAATGAGAATACCACCACACAGGGCTCCCCAGGAAATGATGGCCATTAATTTACTAGCATATTTTTACTTGTACATAAAAGTTTTATCACTTGATCTGCATGACCCTGATGAGGACTTCTGAGTCTTCACCTACAGGGTGGCACCAAAGGTAGCCAAGAGGGCGGGTGTTGCCCTCCAGTTGTGCATCTGTTTACTGCTTTTTTGTCAGGGCTGATTGCACCGTGTTCAGCCTTGTGTGTCACCTTGGTGGAGCTGTGTGTGCCGGCGTGGCTGGATTTACCTGGCCTTGGCAGTCTCGGAGCCCAGCAGTCAGCACTCTGTGATGGCATCTTTAATTGAGCCATAACAAATGCTGTAAATTAGCAAATTATATTCCTCTGAGCAGAATGCAAGAGAGGTTGATTCATGAGTGTCTGATTGTTCTTGTCCCAGCATTGGGCTTTTTGCCCAGAGAGATGGCAGCAGGCTGCCTCTGAGGGCCAGGCACAGCAGGGATGCACACTTCCTTCCAGGTCTGACAGAAGAGCCAGGCCCAGATGAGGATTCTGGTGCCATCCTGTCCAGTCCTCTCTACAAGCAGAGACCATGGAGAAGAGAACAAGGAACTTGGTCTAGTGCCCAGGTCAGGGGAACCTGGGTGAGCCTCAAGGCTGTCTTTTAAATAGGGCTTGAAATGGAGGTTTTGGAGGGCCGAAGTCTAGAGCCCAGAGGCTGCTTCTCTTGCTTGTTTCCATGACAGAGAGCTTTGCATGGTATTTGCTGCCCCTCACTCGGTCACCCAGGACTTTCCTCTCTGTGTGGCCTGCCATGATGCTGGGAGGAGGTACTACAGCTGCTTATGACAACACTGAAGAACTTGGTGACTAAGACTATAGTTTGGAACTATCCTTAAATTTTTATATCATTCCATAATCTCCGTTTATCATTGTTGTGGCCTATAGGACAGAATAAAGGTCTCATTACTAGTTAATGAGCATGTTTTTAATGTTCTACAGGCTGGCATTGAACTACAGAAAGTACTTGCCGTGCTTTCCTTATAGATCCGTGCATATTGTACACATGGAGTGAACGCTGAGTACAGAATGAATGAATGGAACCAATTAGGGTCTTAGGATCTGCGCTGTATTGACTCTTCAAAGAGAAGAATTATATAATATGTCCACATAGTCTTCAAAGAGGCAAATTCAGGGAAAAACAGTTTCCGCTGAACTCAGGATGTACCACATACAGTTTGAGCTCCACTGCTCTGAAAGGCAAAATAAAGATGTCCTCAATTGTTGACAGTTAATCAAAACCAGGTAACATCTGCTTCCCGTGTCCATCATCAGCTCCAGTGATACTTCCAGATTTCATAAATTTTGCATGCTTTCCAGAAATTAAATCAAGTCCCAATACCTGGGGCCTTGGTGCTCCTTGGTAGGTGTGGGCCTCTTCTCTCTTGGTTGTTTTTTTGGTGAACTGAGGGTAGAGGGGAGCTGACGATGGGAGCTCTTGCTGGAGCTGGGGATTTGGGCAGGCTGGGGATAGAACCTAGGCTGTGCATGCTAGACAAATGCTCTACTACTGAGCTGCATCCCCAACCCTTTTTATTTATTTTTTTTATTTTGAGACAGAGACTGGCTAAGTTGCCCAGGATGGCCTAGAACTTACAACCCCACCTGCCTCAGCCTCCCATGTAGCTGGAATTAGAGGTGTGCACCTCCATACTGGGCTTGTGGCCCTAGATTTGATCTTGCCGGAAGGTGACTCTGAGATGATGCACACTGTATCAGAGGGTTTTTGGGACACTTACATGTGCATCTGATGGCAAGTGATCACAAGCAGGACACCAGAGCCTCTCACCACTCTGTGAGGGAACAGGCCAAAGACCCAGCCTATAATACAAACCCAGGAAACAGGGGATGCTTGTCCATGAACCGTCCCTCCCTTCCTGTGTGGTGGGCACCCCTTCCCTCAACACTTTCTCTTCTGTCCTGGCCTTCAACTCTGCAGGGCTGTGCAGGTTTGTTCCTTGGCTTGTTCTGGACCTGTTTCCATGGTTTATCTATCTGAATTGTTCTTAAATAGCACACTCACGTGGAACATGATCAAAAAGTAGGAAGGATGTAAAGTGAAAGGCTTCCCTTATCCCTCAGCTCCAGTTACCTGTCACAGGTGGGTGGTAGTTCTGTGCACCTTCCAAAGACCTGGCCCACCCTGTACAGTGTCCACGCTGCCCTCTTAACAGGGTGTCCGGGAGACCATTACATCGGTATGGACAAGACTAGCTGTATTTTTTACAGCTGCATAGTGTAAATCATCGCTGTGGAAATCCTCTAACCAGTGCTCTGATGAAGGTTTGGACCATTTCTAGTACTTTGCCATTACAGACAATGTTTCAACCAATATCCTTACATATATTGTTCTGTATTTCTAAGATAAACTCCAAAAAATTGCACTGCTGGGTCAAAGGCCACACCTTAATCTTGACAAAGTTTGTCACGTTGCCTCCCGAGGAGTCGTATCAACACCCATTCCAGTCAACAGCGTGTGCTTTGCTTTCTCCCGTCTGTGCCAACACCATAGAATCTCAGAATCCTAGGTCTTTGCCAGCCTAGTACATGAAAAATGGCATTTCCATTGGCTGCTCAGTCTTCCTAGACACTGGGCTTTTCTTTTTTACTCATAAGTATTTATTGTATTTTACGTCTGTGGTAGGTGCTCATATTTTTGTATCTTTTTTTGTCTTTTTTTTTTTTTTTTTTTTTTTAGCCCTGACCACATTTATCGATCTTTTCCTATAGCATCTGGTCTTCCCATGATATTTAGAAAGCAACTACCCATTCTGGTCTCTGAAAGTTCCATTCATATATATAATCTCTTATACAGAAGGTCAGAGAGAGGGTCTTCCCTGTACTCTGCAGCAGGGGGACCTAGGTAGACAGATGGGAGCATCCATGCCGTGTCCCTGGGGCAGAAGTCAGGAGAGCTGGAGCAGACGTGGGGTGTGACTCTCGTACAGAGTTCCTCAGAACCATGCTCCTTCCTTCTGCGGCTGCAAGCCTCACTGGTGGGCATCAGAAGCTCATGCAGTCATGGTAATTCCAAGTTGGACCAGATACTTTCCATGCCACACAGCTTCCCGGTCCCCATCTTTCAAGTCCCATGTTGGGTTGGCAGCTAAAAATGACTTGGCGGTAGGTGGTTAATTTTTACTTGTTACTTACTAATAATTATAGCTTTCACTTTGGCACCTCTCACAGCCGAAACCAGTGGCTATTCTTAGATGTGCAATTTCAGATTTTCTGATTTCTGCTGGAAATCTAAAGCTCTGATACTCACAAGTTCCTTGGCTCTGGTGTGACCTGTGGCCTTCATCCTGCCCACTCTCAGGTGCCAGGAGATTGCCTGGACAATGTCAAGTGGTGGTACATCCTCCATGATGAGACCAGGATGGCTCCCAGACCCACCATATATGCACATATGGGAACAGGGAGCACCTATAAGGGAGAACCTGAAGTCCCCGGGGCCAGGCCTGGCAGGCCTGGTGCTGGTCTAGATGGGTCAGCTCTGCCCCACCCACCCCTCCTTCCTTGGGGCTTGGCTAATGGTCTACAGTTTGTGGTGCATTACCAAGCACAGTGCCTGTTCAGGTGTTATTCCGAGGCCTTTCGGTGGCTTAGATTGTTTGGTCCTCATCACAGCCTGGCATGGGATGGTACACTGTGCACTCCACTCACCCCACATGAAGAAGCTGAGACCCAGCCATCAAGTCACCCGTCTGAGGTTGCATGGTTCACATGTTGGGAAGCCTGCATTCCAAGGCCACCAGTGTGGCCCAGAACCCTCACCGTAGCCCTCACTAGGCCCTTGTTTGTTCAACTCAGTACTCTGAGCATGTGCTATGTGCCGTGCTCTGCAATTCAGTGGTCATGAAGACAGGCGCAGTCCCTGCCTTCCTGGAGTTCACAGATGGGGACAAATCAGCTGCCGAAGCACCCAAGCCCCAAGGTACCAAGTGCCAGGAAGCAGCAGTCCAGGCGGCTCTGACCTCCTGGAGAAAAGGCCTCGCCCCAGCCAGACAGAGGAGGCTGTACACTTTCCAACAGCACTGACCAGGGGAGGCCCAGGTAGCCCTTGGGAAGGCCTGGAGGCAGCACGAGCTCTGAGAAATGAAGGGCCCTGGGATGGAAGGGGCCCAAGGGAGGCAGCAAGGCAGGGGTCTGATGGGCTGTGCCCCCAGGAGCCATGTC